ATGCATAGTTTCAAACCTGTAAAATAGCGAACCGTCAGATCGCTGGTCAACACAATTATTGTAAACATAAGAAAACTGATACTTCGATATTCTTTCATGTAAAACTTAACACCGCGAGTTCTTGACTTCTCAACGCCCTGATTACTGCCGAGATATTGCTCCGTATTCGTCCAACATGGGAAATGTTTCCTGACTTATTACTGGAAATAAATGCCGGTCATATTAATTGGCAATAAAACTAATATCCATCGGTGGGGACATCAGCTGTCATAACACTGGCCGCAGCCATCTTGCGAACCAGTCGTCGTCGTGCAGTGCCCCTCGCGGAGACTAAACGAACTTTTATGAACTCTTCTCGACAGTCGGTAATTTACCTAATTACTGACTGGCGCGCAACGATTACCATCGGAAAATCTTTGTAACAAGTGCGCGTGAGACTCACCACGAAGGAGAGATGCGCGTCGACTTCGGCGTCCCCGTCGGCCATTTAATGCATTCTCGTTTTGGCGTTTGAAATTGACAGGTCGCAGTAGACCACTCTTTAATTAAAATTAATAAAATTAATTACTTGTTTGTGCCTTGTGCTGAGAGGATGAGCCGTGGGACAATGAGGGGACGTCGGCGTATCTCCGGTGAGTCTCTTAGTAATTGAATGTGTTGTCTCCTGACGAACAATCGATTTAAATTTAAAGTGTGTCAATTTTCTTTGTTTCACGACATGTCATTTTTGTAACTTTTGAACAGGTCCCGTCTGGACCTGTAATTTCTTGTGATTAAATCAAAAACGAAAACAAACGGTGATTTCTCTTACCCCGCGCTCTCCTTGAAAAGATTGAGCTAGCGTAAAATCAATTAAATTTTAGGTTTGAATATTTTTCCATAAAATATCTCTGGCGTTCGGGCATTAATTCAAACAACAAAGTAACGTGTGTTTTATTTAATTAGTTAATCCTGAGATAAACAAAAGTAAATTCTTGAAATAAAATAACCTTAATCAGAGTAATAAAATTAATAGTAATTTCTCAAATAATTAGAATAATAGTAAGACACCCGTTATAAGTTATTAAACTTCTCTTAAATTTTTATAACTTTTAAGTTTCTGAATGTGCAAATAAATTATATTTATTTCTTAAGTAAATGAAATTATGATTACTTTTTAAGTACATAATTTATTGTTACTGCTTATTATTTTCAATAGTTTTATTAAAATTCGTCACAAGAATTCAATTATTTTCATAAATAATAACATTCTTTGAAAGGATTCAATAAATTTTTTAAATAGTAAAATTCTTTGCAGAAATTCAACTATTATCAATACAATTTTAATAAAATTAAATAATCAAATTTTTAATTATAATTATGAACAGAAAGATTATTTTAAAATAAAAAATTAAAAAAATTTCTTTGTTTCGTTAATTCATTTTTAAAGTTGTTAATTATAATTATAAAAAATTTATTTTTTAACATTTCAAAAAACTAGTCAGAAGAATTTAATTATTCGTAAAAACTAATAAAAAATTTTGAAACCATTTGTAGATTTATTCAATCAATTTTAATCAAATCAATTAAAATTAAAATTTGATAAAAAAAACATTGAAACAATGTTTAGCCACACAAAATTCCAGGAAACATTTGGTTTCAACTTCCAAAACTCCTTCGTTAAAAATGTGCATCATGTCGTGTACTAAAATTTTTGTGACGTCGCAATCTGCAATGTCCAATATTGGAGACTTCCCGTTGATGCATTAAAATTTTGCCAATACTGCTGGCTTCTCTTGTTCAAATTTTGGTTTGAAATTATTTTCACTTGCTCTCGATGATTTTCGATGGACCGAAGAGAAAAATATTTTTCATTGATAAATGATTTCCAGCTCAAACTATCCGTATTACATCTACGGCACGGTTTACTAGCGCTAACAGATATTTTGAAGCCACCCATCCAATCTGCGGCAGGCGTGTCTCCTGCACCTAGTATAAGAGATCCTTTAAAATTTTTAATATCATTATTTACTTCGATGTCAATGCCAGTAGTTTGAAGAATGTTGATTTCAGTCGCAAATTTTTTTAAAATTTTTTCCTGTCCTCCGAACCTTTTTATGTCACGATACTTAGCTATTGCAAGTAAATTAGCATTCTGTAAAGTGGATCTGTACTCTGGATACACATTGGCAAGAGACCAATACCACATTCCGAGTTTATGATTTGCAGTGTATGAACCCAGTGGATTAGTTAATACTATTTCTTCATAATAAAGTATAATGCCAATAGCATTTTCATGTTGGCTGAAGAAAGGATGATTTTTATAATAAGATCCATCTAGTAACGAGTTCAATACGTCCCTTCCGTCTCAAGGATTTTCAACACAGAACCTCACTTCTTCGTTAAGAAGAAGTCTCTTTAGAGAATCTAGTAGCGGCACATAATGTCCAACAAATTTCTTTCTTATTAGTTTAGGTGTTGGTTTGCGCTTCCATACTCTTATCTCTCCAAGTTTTACTTCTTTTGGAGTAATAAAATTTAAATGCTCATGTAAATATTTATCTAATTTGAATTTGGTATCGACATGTGAAAAGAGCTCTGTAACAGGATGTATTTCCCTGAATAACATCTGAATATCTTCATGGTTTACGTTTCTCACTCTTTCCTCAAATAAATTATGTACCTTTTGCTGCAAAAATATATCAATATATAGAACATATTATGTACTAACAAAATATTAGGGTGCTCGCAAAATATTATTTTCAAAATTCCATCATTTTTTCTAATTATTTAACATTCATTAAAAATGTATTTCTAAATACTTTTTCTAACCATTATAAAAATATTATTAATTAACAAATTAATAATTCGTGAAAATTATCGTATTTATTTTAATGGTAAACAAACGGTTTTTGGTACAAATTAACAATATTAATTAATTTAAATATTTCAGAATTAATAATATAGAATGAATTTAGATATTAAATAATACCAGAAAACAATTGATGCACTTAAACAATACAAATATCGAAGGGTAAAAATTTTACCGGTCCCTCCCCTTAAAGATAAAAAAATATTGTGAGGTTCACTGAAAAAGAAGTTCTGGTTGGATTTACGAGAAAACCAGTTTTTAACTAGAATTTCGTGTTAAATATACCATAACTAGATTTTTTCTGGTTAGGTTAACCAGAATCCTAATTGTTTAAACTAGAATATTGTGTTAAATATAGCCTAACTAGAACTTTTTTTGTAGTGGTTAATTTGAAAAAATTCAAAGACAGAATTAAAAAAGGTTTCTCAAAGAAATCTCTTATTTGTACTAAAAACATTTATTTAAATTAAATAAGAATATAGTTTTCTCCGACCCTAATAAATATTCTTTGTTTTAAGAGAAATGTTTTATTACATAAAAATAAAGTTATATTTCGGGCAAATCAAATTTTTATTTGAAATAATTTAATATTTATTAGGCTCTGAGACAAGAACTCAGACAAAAGAACAAGAATATACACCCAAAGAAATCTTTAGATGTATAGTTTTTGGAAAATTGTAAGTAACATATATTTTTTTAATTTAAATATGTTTTTCTCTACATTCCTGCAAAATTCTACAATTTAAAAAAAAATTTTTTTTGTTTATCTCTGAATTTTATTAATTATCAAGGTTCCTTTACTACTTTTACATAATATAGGATTACGAAAATGTTGCCTACTGTTGAAATGAATCATCCTTTCATAGCACACAGATTAAAATTTTCACGAAGCAATTGGAAAGATAAAAGTATTTTTTTAATGAATTTAAATTATATTCATTTTTTAAATGAGAATAAAAACTTACCATCATAAAAGAAATATAACTTTTTAATAAATCTTTCACTCCATCCAAAATTTTTTTACTGTGCATTGAGGAACTTTATAAACGTCTCGAATAGTAACAAGAAATCTAGCAGCCATGTGTAAAATAGTATCATATTCATTTATGGGAATATTATCCCCGTCATGCTCTGTAATTAAATATTTCTAATTAGAACTATAAAATAAAATATTAACATACCAGAAAATATTTACCAAAAAAGTCTGGCAGCCTGTTATGTTGTTGATCATTGTTTTGAGGAAAGTCAACAAAGTTTTCTTGAAAATACTCTTCCACTATGTTCTCATCACCAACATCTATTTCTCATTTTAAAAAAATTAGGTTTTACTCATTTAAATAAATAATAGGTTTCTAACGAAAAAAATAAATATACATTCAATCCTCGATAAGAGAAACTCGAAGGGAGACCGAGCAAACTTTGGATTTATCGAATGTTTATAATATATAGGGAATGATCGGGACCCAAGAATTACTTTGACTTATCGAAAAAGTTGAGTTATCGCGCTTTGTCTCATCGAGAGTTGACTGTATGTGAAAAATGAAATTGTAAATATATGTATATGTGGAAAAGTGAATACTAACTCACCAAAAACTTCATTTCTCTCATTATTTTCCGGTAATACAATTTCCTCATTGCGATTTTCAAATTTATCTACACGTTCTTGATGGCTTCTATACAAATGTTTAGGAAAAGAATCCCAATTTCTGTATGTCACTCCACATCCAATTTTACTACACGTCACAGAAAAATTTGGATCTAGTCGATGACATTGGATATAATGTTTAATGAATTGTAATTCTACTTCTGTGCTAAAAAAACACATTGAACACTTCAATCGTCGAATATTTTCCATTATTATGTTTTTGACATTTTGAGGTTATGAATATATAATTTGATTATAGAATCAACAGTTTCTATCTTTCTTGAAAAGTGACCTCTTAGAACTGTATTTTTGATAAAGTTTAAAGTTAAAGTCAAGGTTGCTAGCAGTTGCCAAGTCCTTTCACTAAACGCAAGTGCGCATGATCTTCCCCTCCATGGTGAATTGTAACACATTAATTATTAAAGTAATAACAACAATTAAGAATATTTAATAACTTTTTGTATAATAATAATAATTAGGAAAAGTTTTTTGCATTTGACGCAGAGAAATATCAGTACTTGAATCCAACAGTAACCATAGATTTGAATTCTTCGAACGATTTTTCTCTTCCTCAAAACACTCCCTCAACATCAACTAAAAATGAACAGGATCAATTGTCAGAGACTATAAATCGGCAGAATCAAGTGTCAAAAACTACAGATCAGCGGGAACAAGCCTCAGCAACTACAAATCATCTAGATCAAGTGTCTGAAACAGATTCAGCTATCGAAGCAAAGAAGAAACTTTCAACACGCAGACCTAAGCAACTGAAAGATTTGTCCACGGTAAATTTATTTGAGTTCTATATACCATTTAACATTTTTATCTTTTGATTATAAAAATTAAATAAATTTTAATTAATTTATTAAAGTAAATACGTAAAAAAATTTAAATAAATTATATTTAAAACATCTTCTAAAAATATTCAATGACATCTTGGAGATTTATTTTAAATTCGTCAGGAAATTTTTTATAAAAATATTATAAATTATCAAAATTCTACTGCTCATTTTTTATTTATTTTTGCATGGATTTAAATTTTTAAACATTCAAATAAATAACTCTACAGAGATAAGAGAAAAAAATTACACATTTAATAAAGAAATAATTTATTATTTTACGCACGTAAAGTAATATTTTGTGATAGAATTCAAACTGAGAAAAATAGCAAAGACGGTTTTTTATTTGTATTTTTAATTACAAATTTGTTTGTCAAAGAAGTCAAGGAATTTTGAAAATACATTTTGGCAACAATTTTAAAATTGTGTAGAATAATGTCAGGCTTCGCACTCAAAAATTACTTTTAAAAAAGTAGCTAAAAAATCTCGTTTCAATCGAAACACAAAAACTTGATTAAGTATTACCCTGACTTTTGGAAAATAATAAATAATGAATTATTATTTATGTTAAATATTTAAATATAATTACAGTTTGACAAAAATCAAAGTTTTCAAAGGTAAACCATTTAAAAATCTTTTAAAATTTAATTATTTTTCAAAATTCAGATATATTATAACGCTTCTACTATTCAATTTTTATCTAAAATTTTTGTAAAAATTCATTTTTAATTCAATTCTTGTTAGAAAGTTCTAGAATTCAATTATTTAAATACAAATAAAATGCAAATAAATAATTGTATGAATAATAAATTTTTTTTCTTAACATTGAATGTTTATAAAGTTATATTATCAAAATTTAATAAGATAATGGAGTTTCGCACGTGCCGTCGAGGTATACAGACGTGTTTATTTTGCTCGCTATATTTTGAAAAAGCTAAAATTTTAAAAATTTGCTTTTCAACATTTGTTTAATTCTTGTACATACATAATTGGGCTTTGATTGTGGTGTTTGACTTTTTTATCATCTTCTTGTTTGTATACTAAAACGGTAATAATTTGCAGTTTTCTTTTTATTTTCTTTCTTTTTAATTTGAAAGATAACTGCTGATTGGCTTTATAAGTTGTCGTGATACTGTAATAGTGCTTTTGTGTGTGTCATCCATTGTTTATCATGGATACTAAAATGTCAACAATCGATGACAAATTTGCCCGAATCCTTGATTCAATTTCTGAACTTACAACGTCACATGAAAATCTTAGTGGACAAATTGTTAAAACTAATACATTTCTTGAATCTATGAACCATGCAATAAAAAATCATGAATCACGAGTGTTGAACGTGGAGGATAATCTCATATTTATGAATAGAATTCTTCGATCTAAGAACTTGATTTTGTTCAATTTGAAGGATTCTCCGGAAATCAATTCTATGCTGTTTGATGAAGTGATGAAAATTTTTAACAAGGTTGGTTTTCGAGTTCCTGAGGTTGCAGTGGATGATGTCTTTCGATTGGGAAAGACAGGAGGCAACAGACCTGTTTTAATAAAGTTCATCGGAGTCAGATGGGTCAAGGAGGCTTTCAAATTGGTCAAGGAGTTTAAGAAACTTGATTTAGTAATCACTAATGATCGCACCAAAGAGGAGAGAGAAAAGCGCCGCGTTTTACTTTTTCAAGTGAAAAAACTACAGTCCCTTAATTTCAGCGCCCGTTTGAGAGGGGATATTATCTTAATAGATGCTAAGCGAACATAAATCAAGGGAGAAGAACACCTCATATCAGCCTTCGAGTCGAAACACTCCTGAACTAGTGAGGAAGACACAGAGCCCTTCCTCATTATCCAAGAAGAGAGGCCGGCAATCTAAATTTGATGGAGACGCCCAGAAGGAACAGAAACGTAATAGGCTTATGCATGAATTCATAGCTTATAATAATCGCCCATCAAATTCGCAAACTACAGAGAAGGATGTGGATACGATCTCTAAGGTGACACCTCAAATGTCACTAAGTGGGGATGAAGCTTAGCAACGAGCAATCAACAGCGAAAAGAAGGGATACAAGCTTCCCCTACCTTTTGCAACTTTATCTACGCTTTCGAGCTTCGATATAGTATTCTGGAATTCTCATGGTAGTGGTAACCTGATAGATATACCTGTGAGTGGGGATGTCCCCCATATACTGTGCGCGTATGAAACATGGTGTAAGTTGGAAAATTTTAACTTGTTCCGTTCTGCAAACTTAAAAACAATATGCTCTCCGGCAAAGAGATACAACCCACTTGGAAGAGCTAGTGGAGGTATTCTGTTAGCTTATGATGAGGATCTTTTTGCTGTGGATGTAATTGAGATGGCTTGTAATTATATCTTTGTTAATATTAAATTTGTAGCAGGAAATTTTATACTAGGAATTATTTATGTTTCTCCTTCTCAGGATTTTGAATTGTTTTAGAAGATCTTTCAGTTATTTTAAATATTATTTGTGTAAAATATTGTGATAGTCCCATTATCCTAGGAGGAGAATTTAACAGTAGACTTGCAGACCTTAATCAGATTAATCCCGAGAGTTTTGACTTTAATTGTAACTTTCAATCGGACAGATATTCCCAAGATATGGTTTTAAATGCACGGGGTAGACGTCTGACCGATTGCATGGAACTTTTTGACTTTATTCTATTGAATGGTAAAGCGACAAGTGACAGCCCAGCGAATTTTACTTTTATAGGCCATCAGGGGTTAAGTGTGGTGGATCTCATATGGTGCTCAAAGAGTGCCCCCTTCCAATGTTGTTTGACCTTCATGTTAGGAATCTTACCACCTTCTCCGACCACTTACCTGTGTATTTGAGCGTCAATCTGCCTTTACATGTATCAAAAAATATTGAAGGACCTTTGATAAGTAAATTTATATTTGACATTGAAAAAACAGAGTTGTATGCATCCACGATGGCTTGGAGAGGGGAGGTGGGTGAGATTGGTAGAGGAGTAAATGTTATTGGTGATTTAATTGTATCAAGCATAAGGGATGTTGCGAGCAATCTGGGGATGAAGAAATCTTTTAATCCAGGTAGGAAATTTTTCAATAAAAAATGGCACGATAAAGAATATTTTATGTCAAAAAAAAAGGTAGTGGAGGCGTTGGCTGTCTGCAGGAACTCCGCATTTTTACCGGAAGCTAAATCCTTATATCTAAATGAAAAAAAGAAATTGCATAAAATGCATGTAGAGAAAAAAAAGCATATTTTCGTGATTTAATTGATAAAGCCTCTAATTGTAGAAACTCAGCGCAGTTCTGGAGGACTATTAACTCTTTCCGCCAAAAAAATAATGTGCAACCAAAAATTAATCTTGAAACCTGGTTTGAGTTTTTAAAAAATTTATTTCCGCAAGTGGGCCATGCTCCCCTTGAGGTGAAGTTTGCTGGTCAATTTCATCCTCTTTTGGATGGTGAAATTACTACGGAGGAAATTTTGAGTAGTTTATCTAAATGTAAAAATGGGAAGGCCCCTAGCCTTGATGAAATTAATTAATCTTTTTATAAAAATTTGCCCCAAAACTGGATCCTTTTCTTGGGACATCTTTTTAATAAGATTTTGAGCACTGAAAGGGTTCCAAAAAATTGGGGCAAGACGGTAACACTCATGTTCTATAAGGGGGGGGGGACCAGGGAGATCCGTCCAATTACAGACCGATAACCTTAGTTGTTTGCTTAGCCAAGATCTTTACACAGATTTTGTGTGATAGGATGGTCTCCTGGGAGGAGGAACTCAAGCTGATCCCAGAGTCGCAGTCTGGGTTTCGGAGAGGTAGATCGTGCTTGGATAACCTGTTCGTTCTGTCGTCTGCTATCCAGATCCATCTTGCTAATCCGGGTTCGGCAGTTTTTGCAGCTTTCATAGATTTCAAGGGGCCCTTCCCATCTGTATCACATAGTTTGCTATGGCACAAATTGTATCGCTTGGGTGTCAGTTCAAAAATGATTAATATTTTTAAGAATTTTTATGATATTGCGTCCACTTGCATAAGAACTACAAAAGGATGCACGAAGGAGGTTGGGATCTCTAGGGGTGTACTACAAGGAGAAGTCCTAAGTCCGTATGAGTTCATTTTATTTATTTTCGATATGGAAAACTATTTTATAGAACATGGCTGTAGGGGGGTTGCTATTAGTGGCTCAGAGGAAATTCAAATGATTGGGTACACAGATGACTATGTTCTCCTTGCAGATACGCCTCTGGAACTAGGAAAAAACTTGTCTGTATTACATGACTATTGCCAGAAAAATTGCCTTACAGTAAATGCTAAAAAAACGAAAATAGTTGTGTTTACTAAATCGGGAAACTCGAAAGCAAAAAGGTTCAAAACATTTAAATATGGGAATGAATACATTGAGGTTGAAAAACAGTATAAGTTTCTGGGGGTAATTTTCTCCGACTGTTGTTCCTTTCACTTGGCCTCAAAAAAGTTAATCAGTGCAGGCAAATCAGCGGTAGGAGCTATCCTGAACAATATCCTAACAATCGGTGTGAACTCTTGGCCAGCGTATGTAAAATTGTTTCAAAGTATAGTTCTGGGGATATTATTGTATGGAGCGCAGGTCTGGAGTCTAAATTTTTTGGACTTATTGGAAGGGGTTCAATTAGGCTTTTTTAAAAGACTTCTTATGCTGCCTATCTGCACCCCGAATTACGCGGTGAGAATGGAGACAGGCTCGTTGCACGCGTCGTTCTATGTTCTAAAAGGCATTCTGTCTTGGATTCGTAAAATTGCTTCAATGGAATCTTCAAGGTACCCAAGACGGTGCCTGGAGGAGCTTGGACGATTAGCTCAGCGATGCCCTAATAGCAAATTAAATTGGTTTGTTAAGCTCCGCTCATTCTTTACTGATTGTGGTTTGGAGTGCAGATGGATAGCGGAGTCTCCGCTGACATTGGCCGATGATATGGAGGACACCTTGGATCATTATGCAAGATGTCTCATATCAGCGGACAAGGAGCGTTTTCTTCTCTCGAAGAGCTTATTAATATATCCCAACCTCCAATTGGTGAATGGCACTCAGAAATATTTATTGCTTAAATGTCCATTGCGTTTTAGGAGAGTGATTGCCCAGATACGGCTGTTAAATTCGCATGTATGTAGAATTGTTGTTGATGGACGGAAGTATGTCTTGGATAAGGATCGTAAATGTACTCTGATACCGGTCACATGTATGTGAAAATTCCGCGAAAGAAAAACACCACTGCACAAGTTGAGAACCCTTCTTTTTGAAGGTCTCAACTTCGTGAAAATGTGGTATCTTCCCTTGGGTTGACTTTTTCGACATCGACATGTAGAAAAAATTAGTCTAGCTGGGCCTTACTCGTCGATTTCCCTGACCGCGCGCCTTTCTCTGTCTTTTCTATCTCTGTCTCTCTCTACTCCACGTTTCCGCTTTTCCTCTTTCGCATTCCTCCCCAGCAAAGATTCAAAGGGCCCAGCAGCCACTATATCTATATATATATATATATATATGCTTCGAGTTAAAATTCGTTTCAACAATTTTGAAATTAACAGGATATATTGTAATAATGATTTATTAATCATTTATACTTATACTTATATTGTTTTACTATGAATTAGTTTAACAATATTTGACTGATTAAGTATAAATATTATTATTCCTATTATTATAATTATTATTATATGAGTGTTGGTATTATTAATACTGTTAATATTATCAACATTATTATGTTTTATTGAATTGTTGTTCACTTTTATTAACAAGTTAATGTTAATTATTTTTTGGCTTTGAGAAATAATTCTTTTAATGTTTAAAAATAATAATTTTATTAGTAATACGTTTATATTATCTTGAGTATTAATTTCGATTATTGTTTAATTGTTTAATTAATAAATAAATTAGTATTAATTAAATAATTAATAAATCAATATTAAATTAAATAAAGAGATAAATATATTCTTTTATTTATAATATAATTATACAACGTTATGCAAATTATATGCATTATTATGTCTCAATTAGGGTAAAATGAATGTAAAATTAGATTTTTAAGTTTAATTAAGTTTATTTTATATTTTAATATTAAGTTAGTTATATGTAAACTGACTATAGCAAGTTCGTCTCTTGTTATCCCTCTTACATGTATAAAAAATCTTCCCCTTCCGAGAGGCAGATTTTTTATGCATAGAGTTATTGGGTATAAAAGGCGACGAAAATGCCCAGTCAGGGAGTCACTTCGCCGCCAACCCTTGTAACGGAACTACTTCCGTAGTCTCCTCCTAAATAAAACTTTAAATAAAATTTTAAAGACCAACTTAAACTGTTGTCCCTTTTTCTTTTACCTACACTACTACACCAGCTCTTGCACTATTACCGTACACACTGGCAATACGGGATTTATTTCCTGATTTTGCGCGTGAGTCGGTACTATAGTACTCATTTCACCCCGTACGAGAGTTACGCACAATCATACGTCACTGAGAGTTGCCACTTTTGACAGTGCTTTGCGGGAATTTTTTTCCTGTTCTGAGCTCTGTGCAGGAGGCAAACTCTCGACGAAACCCTTACACCCACAAGCTATTTAACCCCAATTTACTACCACACTGATTATAGCACTACGGGAAGAAATTCCTTGCTCTGCTTAATGCGTGAGGTGGTCGAACGGGACGATGGCTTTTGGGGTTAATGGGTCTGACGTCACTGAGAAAAACTACCACCTTTGACAGAACTTTGCGGGAATTTTTCCTGTTCTGAGCTCTGTGCAGGAGGCAATTTCTCAAGACGACAGCAGTATGACTATTGTGTAACTCTCTCCCTTCCCACTACAGTACACAACTTTATTTGTAAACTTTTCCTGAATTTTATGATTAATAACAATTAATTATTAACTTTCAGACTTTGCTTAATTTTGAACTTCTCTAATAAGTGAACCATTAACCAACATCCATTTACAGATTTATTAATTAATTCTGTGTAAATGCACATTTCCAACCCCAGAAATGTGAACAAACCATTCTAACCTTCAAGTTTGTTTACGTTTGTGTGTCTAAATTCCACATCGACTTGACGCATTTGTTTTGACAGAAAAGCTAACCTCTAAATTCGGCCTCCTTCTAAGTCTTTAAATCTCGAAGTGCCCAGTCGATTATCGATTATCGAACTTCGAGAGATCGATTCTCGATTATCGAACATCGAGAGATCGATATATCGCTGACGTCACTGTTTAACGCCGGCTACGGGGAAGCTGCCTTCCCCTAAGGCCCAGCTACTCTGACGTCACTGCCAAGGTGCTACGAAAATAGCAATCCGCTCTTTGCCCGGTCCCTTCCCTTCACACGGTGACCGGTAACAACTCTTTGTAATCTTGAGAAAGAAAATCTGCATCACATTTTAACTGTTTGTCCAGCATGTAAGCATATGTGGGAGCAATTGTCCCCTCAAGTTAAAAATTGCACTGATATCTGGGACTTTTGGCTAGCTATGTTATCTACGCCAAAACAGTCCGAAATATTTAAATTTGTAAAATTGCTGTTGAAAATATTGAATGAAAGAAATGATAATAGGGAAATTAATGTTTAAATCTCTTAGCGAAACACCGCTTGTATATACTGTATTGTATTGAGACAAGTGAATTAAATAAAAAAAAAAAAAATTTAATAAGATAATTACATTCTTTGAGCAATTTATTTTTAATTTTCAAAAAAATATTATGAAAATTGTATTTTAAATAATTAAAAATCATTGAAAATGTTATTATTTATGAAAATATTTAAAGTTTTTGTGAAGAATTTTATTAAAAAAATTTTTTTTAACTGAATTTTTTTTTGAAGTTGTATTAAAATAGTAGATATTTAAAGTAATTAATTATTTAGGAAAATAATCAAATTTTTGCCAAAAAAAGTTCTTAAAATTTTGAAAATTAATAGAATTGTTTCAGAAAGTTTTATTAATATTTTTGAGAATAATTTATTTATTTCAATTATTATTGACGGAGTTAAAGTAGTGGAAATTCTAAAATTTTAACTGAAATTTATTTTTAAATAAATTCTTGTTAGAAAGTTTTACGAAAATTCAATTATTTAAATACAAAGTAAATAATTGATTGAAGAATTCATGATTTCTTAAAATTGAATTTGATACAAATTTTAAAAAATAATTTTAAAAATTTTGAAAATATAATTGTATTTTTTCACTTAATTTATTTGAAAATTTCCAAAAAATTGAATGAAAATTGTATTTTAAATAATTAGAAATCTGTGAAAATATTATTTATGAAAATAATTGAAGTTTCTGTAAAGTCAATTTTATTAAATTTTTGTCTAAATAATGGAATTTTTTTGTGAAATTTTATTAAAATAGTAGAGAATGAAAATAATTGAATTTTAGCGAAAAAGATTTTGTTATTTGAAAAAATAATTGAATTCTTGACAAAAAAATTTTCTTAAAATTTTTGAAAATAATTGATTAAATTTTTTTAAATCTGTCTAAGAATTCTATTAAAATTTTTGGGAATAATTTTTGTATTTTAATTATTAGCGGATTTAAACGAATGTAATTTGTGAAAAAAGTAGCTTTTAGTTGCTGAAATCGAAAAAATACCCTAATAGTAGCATAACGTAAAAAAAGTAGTAAATAGTATGTTTTAGTAGATGAGTGCGAAGCCTGTAATGTGTAAATCTGAAAAGTGTACACCGTTTTAAATTTACTACATTATTTTTTCAGCATCTTTGTCGTTCATTGATAAGACAATTACCTGATCTGTCTCACAGTCTACAACAATACGTTAACGAAGGGCAAGTTTTGTTAGTAGCATCAAAATTTTATAACTTTTATGCCGAAGTTTTAAGAGATTGGACAAATGATAATGCAAATCATGCCGATTACGATATAATGGCAGAAGCCGTATGTAAACGTCATCCAGAACTTTTGGTTGAACAACAGGACCCCTCTTGGGTAAGAATACAAATCTGTTAATATATATTCTTAGACATATAATAAATGTTAATTTCATTTTCTTTTCTCCTTTTAGCGCTCTTGTCGCAGATTTTTGAGCGAATATTCAAGAAATCAACGCCAAGCGGAGAAAAAAGCAAAAAGGAAATCTAAGACTTCGATGGATGATGATCTACTCCCTAAAAATAAAAAGTATAAGTCAAAATGTCTTAATTCGATAGCTTTGCCTGAAACAAATTGCAAGTAAGTATATATGTACTTTTTTTTAAATCTGTTTACATTTTATGATTTAATAAATTCTTTAATTCTAGCAGAAATGAACAAAACGAAAGAGACATTAAGATTCTTTACGAAGAACTCAGTTCAGCATTACGCACAGGTCCACCAACTCATGTGTTACATCTGATTAAAGAAACGTATTCTCACAGAAGAAAATGGATTATCGAAATTCAAGATCCGCAAGACCATGATTCAAAAATTCCTTCAGACGATTTGCCAAAGGTATCCACAATTACAGAGCAATTCCCTCATTTGAAACAACCGAAATTGGTAAATATTTTAATAAATCTAATTAGATTTAATACCTTATTAATTAACCATGAATTTAAATTTATTAATAATTTATTTTAATAATATTTTTTAATATTTATTTATTAATAATTTTATTTTGACCTGTTTACACAGGTCAAAGAATTCAGGAAAAAGTTAGGGAAAATAGAATTCTATCATAACTTCTTCGAAATTTTTTTCGATTTCTGACAAGAATGAATTTTTTAATACTATTTCATTATTTCAATAGTTTTAACGCAATTATCTTGATAAATAAAATAATTCTTCACAGTAATTCACTTATTTTTAGGAATTTTAATAAAATTCTTTTAAAAATTCAATTATTTTCATTAATAATAATATCCATCACAAGAATTTAATAACTTTCAAAAGTAATAAAATTCTTTGAAGAAATTCAATTATTTAAAAAAATTTTAATGAATATAATAATATAATAAATTTAATGAATTCAATGATTTTCAGTATTCACTATTTTCATAAAATTTCTCAAAAAAAATTTTAAGAAACATTTATTTATTCAATAAATCAAAAGAATTCAAATATATTGATAAACAACAAAATTTCCCTGATAAAATCAATTATTTTCAAAAAATTTTTTAATTCTCTTCAAAAATTAAATTATATTTGTAAATAGGTTGTGGAATTCTTCTCAACAATAATATTTTTAAAAGTTATTCAATTTCAAAAAATTTAAATTAAAAATTTTGGAACATCTTAATTTTAATGGAAAAATAATAATTATGAAATATTTATTTTAAAAAAAAAGTTATTGATGTTTTCGAATAATTTTACAATAAAAGAAATTTTTTAATAAATTTATTAGAACACTTTTCCAGTGTCTAAATAATTTTTAGAGTGAATCAGAATATTCTTTAAGAACAGGGAAAAAGTTCAGGAAAAAGTCATAATTCTGTCTGGAATCAGGGATTAACAAAGTTAAATTTTTGTAACAATTCTGAAATACTGCTTTTTAATTCTGAAATTATAATAATTTTTTAGATTCTGTATGAACTCTCTTTAATTCATCAGGCACTAAATTACGAAAGTGCAATGGAAAATCTCTTTACGGATTTATCGAAGTTTTTTAAGATGCCATGCGATAATGATTCACAAAAATGTGATATCCTCTTGGAACTCAACAATCGTCTTAAACCTCCTCGCTTAGGAAAAAAAGCCAGTAATTTATTTACTGTCTTAGAGGTAACTTCAATTAATATATTTATTTTTCTTGCTATTCTAGGTTTACATAATTCTATTTGAATTCCATTTTTAGGCTATGACACCTTTAAATAATGAGCTGGCAACTGTTGAATTTGAACCACCAAGATTGGTTTTATTCATTAATGAAGATGCACTTGCCTCCACTTATATTGTTGCTGATGGCTGTATTGAGATTCAAGTGGAAGAGTCAACTTTAGTAAAAAGTCTATTATGCCTCTTAGGATTATATCACACTTGTTACATTGGATACGGATCAGCGTACAAAAACGTTTTAAGTTTATTTGACGAATTAGTTTTTCAAATGAAAAACTTAAAACCATCTGGATGCTATTCCAACTTTCTTCGTTCTTGGAGTAACAATAAGAAAATTCAAGATGAATAATAATTATCTTCCTTATTAAAGTAATAAGTGTTCGTATTCTACATAAAATGTAGAATACTTTTTTCTAAATATATTTTTTAATATTCGTTTCTTTATCATGATTTTAGTTTATTCACAAATTGTTTTTAAATTTTTTTTGTAATCGACAAATTTTATACTGTTTTTGTTAAGTATAATAACACAGTGCAACATTTTTCAGGTCATCGAATGTGCACTAAGTTTTGACTTCAGTTTCTGAAAGTACTTACCAAAACTAGCAAAAACCTATTTCAGTTTTGCTAGATTAGCTCGGATTTGAATTTAATCGACATTTGAATTTTTTTTTTGAATTTTCACATTTTTTAGTTTTCTGATACGGGCGGGTGGGAACACTGGCTATTAAAAGTTTATTAAAAAAATTCGCAATGGTCACAATTTGAAAAGCAATAATCCCTCTTTAATTACAGAGAAAGAAAAAAAAATTTGGTCAAAAATTGTTCGAGTTATGAATTTTTTTCTTTGAATTTTCAAATTTTTCGTTTTTTTGAGATTGGCAGTTGGAAACGCTGGCTATTAAAAGTTTATAAAAAAAATTCGTAGTGGTCACTATTTGAAGAGCAATAATTCCTCTTTAATTTCTGACATTGAAAGAAAAATTTGGTCAAAAATTGTTCGAGTTATGATTTTTTTTTTTGAATTTTCAAATTTTTTGGTTTTTTGAGATTGGCGGTTGGGAACGCTGGCTATTAAAAGTTTATAAAAAAAATTCGCAGTGGTCACAATTTGAAAAGCAATAACCTCTCTTCAATTTCTGACAACGAAAAAAAAATTTGGTCAAAAATTGTTAAAGTTATGAATTTTTTTTTTGAATTTTCATATTTTTTGGTTTTTTGAGATTGGCGGTCGGGAACGCTGGCTATTAGAAGTTTATAAAAAAATTCGCAGTGGTCACAATTTAAAAAGCAATAATCCCTCTTTTATTTCTGACAACGAAAAAAAAATTTGGTCGAAAATTGTTCAAAACTAGGAGATCAAAATATAGAAAACAAATTGATTTGAAAAAACTGCACGCACCTAGTGCCTCAAAGTGGACAAAATTTCTATAATTATCATCTTCTCCTAGTTTTCTTCACTATTTTTAGTTTATATTATAGGTCAACAAATTGATAACAAATAAGAAAAGTTATTAATCATAGAAAATTTAAATGTTGGAATTGTTGGAGAAATGTTAGGAAATTTTCGATTAGTTCAAGTATTTCATTGATTTGGTACTGCAATAGAGATTTTTTTTGAATTCTTGTCTTTTTGGTGGAGTATTTTAAGTTACATTAAGGATTATATAGAAATGTATATATGTTATATAAAAATTTAGCAGAATTTAGAAAATGATGATTGGAGTCTTTAAGCTGCAATAGATGCTGCTAATATAGTAGCTATTTCGGCTTGTAAACGCTGATGTTCGCCTAAATCATAAATAAATGAATTTTAAATATTTCTTTATACATATTCTTTCTAACAAATACTGTGATCAAAATAAAATAATATTTTAGTAGTATTAAGAATTGTTGTGTCGTTAAAATGGCAAATACTAAGTGCCCAAAAATAAATGAATTCTGTTACGTTTGTGGTCACATAGTGCCCAAAAGTGAAGGAAAAGTTCGAAAAGATTTGTTTACACTGGAATTTAAGTTTGCATATACGCAATATTTCGATGAAATCGATTCGAGTAATGAAGATTTTACGCCAAATACGGTGTGCAGTGTTTGCTACAGTAATCTTTTGCACTGGTTACATCGTCGTAGAGCAAGGTTACAATATATTAAGCCTGTAATCTGGGTAAATGATCAAAACGGACATGATGAATCCAGGTGTTATGCGTGTATTAATTTTGTTCTTGGAAGTAATAAAAAAAAGTTAAAGAACAAAAGATATGTTGCTGCTTTTACTGCCTCTCTTCCAGTGCCACTTTCTGCTGATATTGAACCACCTAATCCTCCGAGCCTGGATACTTTGTCTACATGGACAGCCACAAATGGTTTTACCATTGCATCCGATGTCAACGATCCCGATTGGATTCCCGATGAAGAAGATGATCAACCAAAACCGCTAATACAAAACGAAATGGATTATATTGTGGCTAAGTTTGGATTATCGCAACGGGATTCCGAAATGCTTACCTCTTTTTTGAAACGTAGAAAACTAACACAGCCAGATGTTAACGCCACGACATATAGAAAACGCCAAGCTGAATTTCAGAACTTTTTTACCGTTGACGATGAAAATACGTTCACTTACTGCAATAACATCGAAGGTTTAGTGAATAAATTAGGAATGAAGTATACTGCTAGTGACTTTCGATTATTCATTGATGGTTCAGTTTCAAGTTTGAAGGTTGTATTGTTGCACAAAACAAACGAAAAACCGTCCATTCCACTAGCATTGGGCACGAATATGAAGGAAACGTATGAAACTTTGAACAATATATTGCAGAAAATAAAATATGATGAACATAATTGGAAGATTTGTTGTGACCTAAAAGTTGTAAACATATTACAAGGTGTTATTTCTAAGGGTGGTTTTCCAAAATACTTTTGCTTTCTTTGTAATTGGGATTCGCGAAGCAAAGTTGATCAGTATCAGTGTAAACATTGGGTAAAAAGAACACCCGAGAACGAAAAACAGTTAAGATTGGTAAATAAACCTTTGATAAAAAATATTGCTAATATATTGATCCCACCGCTTCATGTAAAATTGGGAATTACTAAGAAATTCATCGAAGTTGCCGTCAAACATAATGATGAAGTCTTTGACTGTTTGAAAAATATTTTTCCAAAACTCAGTAACGAAAAAATTAAAAACGGTAAGATTGTCACTTAAATATTTAAATTTTTATTCACATCACTCTATTTGCATTAGTATAAGTTTTCCTCAAATATTTTCTTTTACTTTCTATAGGTGTGCTCAATGGTCCGGACATAAGAAAACTAATGAAAAATGAAGCGTTTACAGAAGTGCTAAAAGACAATTACAGGAAAGCCTGGGACGCGCTCAAAGCTGTAATAGAGGGGGTTTTATGCAAAAATCGCGTACCGCGAGAACAGGCACAAGAACTGGTGAAAACAATGCTACATTGCTTTCATGAAATCAAGGCATCTATGACCTTAAAATTGCATTTTTTGCATCATCACCTTGATGAGTTTTTACAACAATTGCCCACCGAATCAGATGAACAAGGGGAGCGATTCCATCAGGTCACCATGCCAATGGAAAAAAGATATAAGGGAAAAAAGCTGGATGCATTGCTTGCAGAAGTGTGTTGGTGGAGTCACAAAAAATCCCAATACGAACGAGAAGGTCTGGAAGATGAGGATGACACCAAGTATGAAGGAAATACTGCAGAAGATATGCCCTTAAATGTTCTCTCTAGCTTAGATCAATATGGAGATTCAGACCTTGAATATGAGCCACTGATAAAGAAATGCAGACCATCAACTTCAGAGGCGTAAGATGTTACATCTGGTAAAATTTTTCAAATTAATAAGTAGGTATTTAATGATATTTATTTGCCAAAAATTAAATTAAATAAAATTTTAAAATCAATAAATTAAAATTGCGAATTTTTAAATGTATTATTTTAAATATGTTTAAAATAATAAAACCTTTTTTCTTAGAAGCGAAATAAACTTTTAAAAAGTAGATGTTTAAAAAAAATCTCTATTGCAGTACCAAATCAATCAAATACTTGAATTAATCGAAAATTTCCTAACATTTCTCCAACAATTCCAACATTTAAATTTTCTATGATTAATAACTTTTCTTATTTGTTATCAATTTGTTGACCTATAATATAAACTAAAAATAGTGAAGAAAACTAGGAGAAGATGATAATTATAGAAATTTTGTCCACTTTGAGGCACTAGGTGCGTGCAGTTTTTTCAAATCAATTTGTTTTCTATATTTTGTTCTCCTAGTTTTGAACAATTTTCGACCAAATTTTTTTTTGTTGTCAGAAATAAAAGAGGGATTAGTGCTTTTTAAATTGTGACCACTGCGAATTTTTTTTATAAACTTTTAATAGCCAGCGTTCCCAACCGCCAATCTCAAAAAACCAAAAAATTTGAAAATTCAAAAAAAAAAATCATAACTCGAACAATTTTTGACCAAATTTTTCTTTCAATGTCAGAAATTAAAGAGGAATTATTGCTCTTCAAATAGTGACCACTACGAATTTTTTTTATAAACTTTTAATAGCCAGCGTTTCCAACTGCCAATCTCAAAAAAACGAAAAATTTGAAAATTCAAAGAAAAAAATTCATAACTCGAACAATTTTTGACCAAATTTTTTTTTCTTTCTCTGTAATTAAAGAGGGATTATTGCTTTTCAAATTGTGACCATTTCACCATTGCGGATTTTTTTTATAAACATTTAATAGCCAGTGTTCCCACCCGCCCGTATCAGAAAACTGAAAAATGTGAAAATTCAAAAAAAAAATTCAAATGTCGATTAAATTCAAATCCGAGCTAATCTAGCAAAACTGAAATAGGTTTTTGCTAGTTTTGGTTAGTACTTTCAGAAACTGAAGTCAAAACTTAGTGCACATTTTATGTGTTGCACTGTGTAATTGTTCACATTTAATTATTAATAAAGTATATACGTTATGTATATAGAAATACAATGATTTTATTACTTGAATACGAAGAAGTTTTGGTATAGTGCTGAAAATCTATGCATTTTAAGAAATGACGAACATTCAGTTATAATTATAATTTTACATTTGACAAAAAATTTTAATAAATCAGTGGAAAGTATTTCAAATATTGCTCAGATATTTGAGTACATAATATTTTATTATTTAATTAAGTAAGTAATAATAAAGACCTTATGCTTATTTGATTTTCAATTTCATATATTCGTTCAAATTTGAAACCAAATATCCGTATTAGGCCTTTATTATTATGAAATAAATTACAAAATATGATTTTAAGAATCAATTAATATTTACGTATTTAATGCACTATGAATTACATAAAGTTTATGCACTTTCAAGTGCATAATGCTCATGCACTTTGAAGTGCATAAAGGTTATACACTTTAAAATGCGTTCAGATCTGGGACATCATTTTATGCACTTGAAGTGAATTCCAGTAACACACTTCTTTTTACAGTGAGAGTGGTGTTTTTTGAAATTTTTCAGCGCATGTTGCTACGAAATATTTGGAATAAATGAAAAGAATGAAATAGAACAAAAGAGGGTGGATGCGGGTGGTTTTTGTTGTTTAAGAATATATTTTTGAAATTATAAACATTTAGAAATGTACATAATAATATTTCTATGTACCTATAGGAACGTACGGCAACAAAAATGTTAGAAATCATTTCTTAATAAAAGCAATAAGAAGGATAATTGTTCTTGTGGGTTCATATTTATTATTCCACATGTTTTATTGATATTTTTTTTTTTTTTTATATTGTTTATACTCCTGCCCTATTGGCCTTACGCACTTCGACAAGAGTCCCCGAGAAATACTTTTTTGGATTAAGCATAACCATTCTACTTTAGAAATTTTCTATATATTAACCTAATTTTGCGTCTACAGCCGACTTTATTAGGAGTACTCGCATTACGCCTGGACCACCCGTCAATGGCTTTTCTCGCCAGAGAAGAGGGAAACTGTAGAAAACCTCTCTGAGTACAACCGGTTTATCGACAGTCGAGTTCTAATGGTGTGTACCGGACAATAATCGACGGTGCACATCATTATACCTCGACGTCAAACCTCCCGCTCAGATTGTCTCACGTGCCGGAAAAATACCAAGCCAAGTAGGCGCGAACCAAGGATACTTATACCCTTGGTCCTTAAACGACCACCAACGCCAGGCACTTATCCGACTGAGCCAATCTGTCGGTGTTTTATTGATATTAATTATTTATTATGTTGTGTAATGACGTTTTTAAATTAAAATTTTCACTTAAATTTAAAGAAAATATCATAAAAACTTATTTTTATGTCAAATCTGACATTGTTCTGCAGAGCGGGATACTACATGGAATACTTGAAAGCAGTCAAAGAAAGGAAAAAACAACAAAGAGGGTGGTTATGGGTGGTTTTTGTTGTTTTTAAAAAATAATTTTAATTGTTAATAATAAAAATTTAGACAAATCTATATACAAGTATTTTTTATGAACAACAGTGTAGGACTTTAAGTAAATTTAAAAAAGTGCAATAATATAAATAATTTGTTCTTGCTATTTGTTATTAATTATTCTTTGTTTAAAGAATATTTGTTAATTTTTATATTTACAAAATTTTATGACTCTTCAAAAATTACCGACCAGAAAAACTTTCTTGGTCGGCAGAACTCTAGGCCTCGGTTGGAAAAACTTTATCAAATGAGGTTTAATTGACTTATACTTTCTAGGTCGGCCAAACTCTGAGCCACGGTTGGCCCGACTGTTGCAGCTTTTATATACATTTAACATTATATATTCCTATGAAAGAGTAGCATAGTGGTCTGTGTATAAGTCTTTGGTGCGTTAGGTAAGGGGTTCGATCCCAGCGAGAGTTATATTTTTTTGAAAATTTATGTATGAGAATGTGTTTAATAATAATAGGTAAAGGTTGTATCTGATGTTCCCGCTAATAATAACGTGTTAATTGTAGAAATAATTTAGTTTTTTAATAATTTTTTACCTTTGGCAGTTAAAGTTAGCCAAACTTTGAAAATTGTGGTTGGTTCAACTTACGCATCTAAAGTTGTGCCAACATTGGCGTCAGTCTTTGAACCAACCATTGAAATGTATGGTTAGCACAACATATGCATTTTAAGTTGAGCCAACTTCCTTATGACTTGTCGGGCCAACCATCGTCGCCATTAGACGGTGAACCGTTATCATCTGTATGGTAGGCCCAACCTCTGGCACAAGAAGTTAGACCGACTTTGTAAAAGTTGGACCAACTATAGGCCGACCAAAAAATCCCTTCAGGACCTGGTCGGGTCTATGACTAAAGAAGTTACATAATTGCAAAATTAGAAAAAAAACTGCAACTTTCTATGTGATATATGAAAAGATAATTACCAACTATTTATTTAAATAATACTAAACTGTTGCTATTATAAAACCTTTGCAAATTTTCTTAACATTCTTAGATAATTGCAAAATTAGAAAAAAATTGCGTGATTCTAACTGCATTTTATCAGAAGTTGATAAATAACAACAATAATTTGTTAGACAACCGTTATAATATTGAACTTATAAAATCTCTACTTTTTTTCTTAATATGCTTAGCTAATTGCAAAATTAGAAAAAAACTGCGTGATTCTAACTGCATTTTATCAGAAGTTGGTAAATAACAACAATAATTTGTTTAAACAACCATTATAATATTGAACTTATAAAATCTCTACTTTTTTTCTTAATATGCTTAGCTAATTGCAAAATTAGAAAAAAACTGCGTGATTCTAACTTCAGTTTATCAGAAATTGGTAAATAACAAGAATAATTTGTTTAAACAACCGTTATAATATTGAACTTATAAAATCTCTACTTTTTTTCTTAAAATGCTTAGCTAATTGCAAAATTAGAAAAAAACTGCGTGATTCTAACTGCATTTTATCAGAAATTGGTAAATAACAAGAATAATTTGTTTAAACAACCGTTATAATATTGAACTTATAAAATCTCTGCATTTTTTCTCAATGTGATTAGGTAATTGCAAAATAAAATTGTTTATATTGTGGCCTTGGGTCCAAAAGATTTGAGAAAGTTGTTAAAAATCAGCAATTATTACTTTATTTCATCGAATGCATTTTCACTGTGAACACAGCTCATCAGGACTACAGAAAAAATATAAAAAAGTTGAGTAAATAGAAAATATGAAATCAATAGCAACATTGTGTGTGGAATAGACCTACCACATTGTTCAATGATACAAATTTATAAAACTTTTAAAAAATTTAAATTCGAAACACAGTTTGTGTTGTGTCATAGACTTTACTATTGTATATTTTATGTTTTTTGAAATTGTATCACTGTCCTTTGTAATGATGAGCACATGTGTTATTTATTTTGTTTATTATTTTTATGTTTATTTATCAATTTGGAATGTTCTGTTGGATTTTTATTTGTTATAAAATGAAGGAAGTCTCGATGGTTCTTGTTCAAACAAGAATGCAGTAAATCCGAACAAATTTTATTCCATTTTTTGACAGGTCTCGACTTTGAGGTTATGTTGGCCTTTAAAAACTTTTCGAATTTAAATTTTTTAAAAGTTTTATAAATTTGTATCATTGAACAATGTGGTAGGTCTATTCCACACACAATGTTGCTATTGATTTCATATTTTCTATTTACTCAACTTTTTTATATTTTTTCTGTAGTCCTGATGAGCTGTGTTCACAGTGAAAATGCATTCGATGAAATAAAGTAATAATTGCTGATTTTTAACAACTTTCTCAAATCTTTTGGACCCAAGGCCACAATATAAACAATTTTATTTGACAAAAATTAAGGTCCTAAAAACACTCTACGTTATTAGGTAATTGCAAAATTAGAAAAAGTCGGCAAGTTTCTAACTGCATTTTATCAGAAGTTGATAAATAACAACAATAATTTGTTTAAACAACGGTTTAAAATCATCTGTATAATTTTTCTTTAAAATTATGTTCGAACCGACGGATAGTAGAAGAGTATATTGCCAATGTTATTCAAATGGTCTGCGTGTCTTTCTACGTTCCGTCGGTTATTTTTAGTTGAGCACAATCTTCCATAAGCAGCCGCACGGACCCAATTGGTGGCGCGCGAATCAGCGCAGCGTCTAGGGGACACGCTGTCGGTAACTCCGAAGATTAGAAAAAAAAAGAATTTATTTAAAAACGTTGTTTTTCATTGTTTTTATTCATTTTTTTCATAACTTTAAAGATTAACCTTTTTTTTATTATTTTTGACCATTTTTCATGTCATTTTCGAAAAAAAATCAGACCCGTAATATACGACCACTCAATAACATGTCCTTAACTGATAAATTACACTACTGCGCATGTGTAACTACTAAATTACAGTTCTGCGCATGTTTAACTATACTAAATTATACTAGTGCGCATATTTATTTGTAATGCAAATAAACTTACCGAAAATAATATAAGTCCTTCATCTCCTTTAGGATGGAATTCAAAAGACTTGTTTTGCCGGACCCTGATGGCTCTATGAACATGGTCAGATCATTTCTTTTGTGTTCATCTTTAATGACATCGTTTATGGATGTAAACACCTTGTCTGAAAGAAATTTGTTTAATATGTAATTTTTCAAGTCAACAAGAAAATTATTTCATTAGTTTATTAAATGCTTGCGGCATATATCTCACACGCTTGATCATATATGTGCATTTATTGATATTTATTTAATTATTTACTTTTTTAATATTAATAACGATATAAATTTCGTTCACATAATATTTTCTAAAAGTTAACATGAAGCATAATATACAATAATAGCATAATCTTATATCCCAGGCAGAAAAGTTGGATGTGCGCCAGTACTAACGACCGGCATAGTGCCGACCCGGTTGTAAAGTTGAACTTATGCCGGTAACAGCAAAATAATACCAAGCCGGATATGAAATAACGACCAGCCCGGTGGTAAATGTGGATTTGTGCCGGTACTGGTAATCTGTTTGATTAAGAGTATCTGGCCCGGTACTATAATTTATCCCAGGTAAAAATGGTTCGTACGAAATTCATACGCATTTCGTTCAGAATTCCGGTCAGATTTGTACAGAATTCCTATCGAATTCGTATGAAATTACTAGTGAAATTCGTGTGGCGTTTTGAAACGTTATTTCGCAAGAATATTCGTGCGAATAGTACCCAGATTTTTTTTAATGGATTTTCAAAACAAAAAATTTCGTTCGGAAATCCGTATGGAATCCGCACGAAATGTCAGCTAAAAACTCCTTCGAGAATTTACGACGAAATTTCTATACGAAATTCGTAAGAAATTGGAGTGAATTACGAACGCATTTCTTTCGGAAATTTTTTATAAAATTCTGCTCGAAAATTCCTATGGAATTCCGCACGAAATGTCAGCTAAAAATATCCTCAAAAACTTTCGACGAAATTTCTATATAAAATTAAAGTGAATTACGAACGCATTTATTTTGAAAATTTTTTATAAAATTCTGCTCAGAAATTAGGATGGAATTCTGCACGAAATGTCAGCTAAAAATTTCCTCAAAAGCTTTCGACGAAATTCGTATGAAATTCGAGTGCATTACGAACGAATTTAATATGGAAAATTTTTATAAATTCTGCTCGAAAATTCGGATGGAATTCCGTACGAAATGTCAACTAAAAATTTCTCCAAAAAAAATTCGGCCCTATTTCCTTACTAATTTCGTACGAAATTCGAGCAGAATTTTTTAAAAAATTTTCCAAGCTAAATCTGTTCGTAATTCGCTGGACTTTCATACGAATTTCCTTTGGAAATTTCGTCGAAAGTTTTTGAGGATATTTTTAGCTGACATTTCGTGCGGAATTCCTTACGAGTTTTCGAGCAGAATTTTATAAAAATTTTCCAAAATAAATCCGTTTGTAATTCGCTCGAATTTCATACGAATTTCGTATGGAAATTTGGTTTAAAGTTTTTGAGGAAATTTTTAGCTGACATTTCGTGCGGAATTCCATACAGATTTCCGAACGAATTTTTTTATTGAAAATTTTAAAAATAAATCCGGGTACTATTCGCACGAATATTCGTGCGAAAAAACGTTTCAAAACGCCACACGAATTTGACTAGTAATTTCATACGAATTCGATAGGAATTCTGTACGAATCTGGCCGGAATTCTGAACGAAATGCGTATGAATTTCGTACGAATCATTTTTACCTGGGTTAGTTCTGTTTTTATACCGCTAAAGAAGATTTGCCAGTGATAATATTTATACCGGCCCAGTGCCAGTCCGGAATCAAAATTTACTAAAGATTTTTTACCGGAACAGGAGTTCTACTGGCAATTATATTAGTATCGGCCTAGTACCTTCACAGAAAAACGTTTTACTTAAATGCAGTCGCACAATCTTACGGAATTTAAGGTGTGTTGCGAGTCTGTACACTCTGCATAAAAGTCAGAATTATGCCAAAAGTTAATGACTGAAAGTTAGCTACTGTTGGTAGTACAGTCTGACGTTATCTAAAAAAAGGAATAAAACTTTTACACTTCGTTTAGATAAAAAAGATAAATAGAAACGTTTACTGAAAATTATAAACAGAAAATGGCATGAAATTAACATAACTAGAGAACGTTCTTTTTAGTAAAAACAAAGAATGGTTAAAGAAGATCATGGAATTTCAGGTTTGTATGTCGAAAAGGAAACTTCTTAAATAAATGTTCAATAGCCTGCCCAATTTTGTAAAATTATATAATATCAATAAGTGCCGGGCTAAAAAAGTTTCCTTTTCATCTAAAAAACAAATACAAAAATAATAAAGTGAATGTGTGAATAATTAATGGACCCAAAAACTGATTGATTGTGAAAAAGAGATTTTATTGAATTTTTGCAGTAATTTTCAATGTTTCATTAAAGAAAATGGTTCTTTTCTGTATAGCTATACCAAACATATAATATATATGTATATAGGGGAGCGTGGGGTAATGGGAGCTTTTAATTTTCACCATTTTCACGTACTTAAAAGCCGTCAAATTCGCTGTAATGTCTAGAAAATCTTCTACAATCTACTTATATATAAGTGAAACATTCACTTTTATATGTGTTAACTTGTATTCACTTATCAATAAGTGAAATCCACTTATGCATAAGTGAAATATTTAGTTAAAAAGAAATTCAACTGCGCTAATGACGTGACCTTTTATTTCAATTATTTATAATTTTAAATGTTTAGAAACAATGCTTTTATCATTTTAGTTAATACGTTGAAAACATTTTATTTCTTTAATTATAAAAATTGTCATTATAAATTTAAATCATTTTTTAGAAAATATTCAATTAAATATTAGATTAACAATAATATAATAACCAATTTTTTATTTACTTATTATATATGGGCAATTCCACGTGAGACTTTAGACGACCTCTTAAAATCGGCCAGAAATATTTTTCTTCTATTCTGTATCCAAAAAAAAAGATACGTATTTTTTTATTTTTGTTTAATTGTCCAAATTTTTGTGTTATGAATTTTCGAAATTTTGCAATTTTAATTGTAGACCTATATTCAGTAGCTTATAAGTCCGAAAATATTGAGTCTAGAAAAAAGTTGTCAAATAATGAAAGTTTTAGTTTTCTTTCGACTTTTAGGAAATGAAAACAAAATTTTTTTTTTATTTTTTATTAAAAAAATAAAAAAAATTTATTTAGATTTAGACTTTATTTAGACTTTATTTATTGTTCATTAAATAGTGGTGCCAACGCTTGTGGAATGAATTAAACTGACTTTTGTAGTCTTTTGGAATGTTTGTCGTTTGACACCACTAATTCCTTCATTTTCTGTATGGATGACGGCGGCTGTGACTCAACTGGACTTGACGAAGACTGTGACGAAGACGCATAAATGTCTTTTTTTAATCTAGAAGTTCCATCATCATTGAACTTCACTGATGAGCCTGCCTGTGGTGGTGATGGCAGTCGCTGCAGCAACGGAAACATTGACTGAAATCGTGTGCGGGTCGATGAATATGATTGATTTAGTCCCGCCATCACCTCCTCTTTTTTTAGAGCAGAAGTTCCAGTCAAAAAGTTTTTCAAAAACATTCTGCAGCTTTCAAAGTGCCGTTTTCTTGGATCTTGTAGGTAAGTTGTAGCTAGACATTTACCGTCTTCGACGGATGGTATTGAATGATCTTTTAATTTTTTTGCTTTTAAAAAATTAACAAAAATAATCCTAGATTCTGCATTTCTCATAATAAACTTCCGAATATCCGGCATTTTCCTTGTAGGTGTGTAAAAAATTATATTTTTTCAATATTTAATGCACGTGTCGATGTAAAAAAAAGCTGTTGTAGAAGCTGCCCCAGAGATTTGCCCATATGTTTTGAAAGAAATTTCAACTTACCAAGTAAAAACTTATACGAAGTGTCTATACGTCCGGCTAGTCGGACAAGTTTAATGGGTTAAAAAAATAATTAACTGCCCGTGCAGGTCAGAGTCTACAGAGATCTTAGCTATTTTAACAATACTTTTATCTTTTTTCATAATAATATGATTAACAAAAGCTGTAATTTTTTTGGCGGCATTCTTATTAGGGTTGCTTAAAAGTTTTAACTATACTTCTCTCACTTCATTTACATCCTCGATCGTAGCTGTATATTGTTTTCTCTCAGAGCCAAATGATTGGCATTCAATTAGTACTTGATATACATACATGATAATAGTCTCTCTGCTGCATTGCTTTTTTATGTTTTGTTAACCATATCAATTTATTTTTCTGCAGTGATTCCCATTCCCCCTCTATCCCCGTCTCACGAAACAAACATTTAACCTGAGAGGCCC